CTGCAATGCTTTTCTTAAGTCCAGTATCATGGAATCCTTGAATACAAATACAAAATGAATGTAAAATAATAAGCGCGACTTATAAGTTTACTGGAATCAATTTCTATAATTTACTTAAAAGTAATAAAATCTCATACCATACGTGTATAGCAACAACAAATTCAAAAGTCAATGCTTTATTCAAAACTGCTTTTCACTCGCTTATAATATTATTGACATTTGTTCAATAGGGCTTGCATCTCTGGTGCAATCGTGCAAAAAGGCATAGTATTTTACTTGTTAAACTCTGTGTATAATTTTATTAATAACTCTTTCAGATATCAATGTAACTAATTCATTTTGAATGTCGTAGTTCAGATAATTTTGAGAAAATTGATTTTTAATAACTTGTTGCAAGTGTTCATTTAGCGTCAGATCATATTTGGATAACAACTTAAATAAATCTATAAAGTTACCACTGTTTCTGCTATTGTATAGGTTAGGTGATTCAAAAAGACCTCTAAATGCCAGATTATTTGAGACTAAAAGGTTTACTAAATCAATCAACCTTTCAAACAATCATTTTCTAACATTTTAGAGATTTTTAAATGAGTCCTTTCTTTTATATATCTATTGTTATTCCGTTTTTGATTCTTTTATAAAATTCCATCCATTTAATTATGCACTCAATGTGTTCTTGATATTTTTAACGTCTATGCATTATCCGACGTAGCTCTTCCCAGTCAAAAAACCCTTCTTTCACCATCTATGTCTGTGAACACAAAAAAAGTATGCAAGGAAAGCAATAAACTTTATCTTTTGACAAGGAGTAAACTATACATCTGCGTTGTTGAGTTACTACAAATCTTAATAAGATTTCCTCATAAGTTTCTTAGCAAGAATAGTAAGACTTGCAGGACGTGCAAAAAAACTAGTAAGATCTAATTAAGACTTGAAAGTTTTTGTGTGATTTACAAATATGATTTGTAAAAAATGTAAGATCTTATTAAGATTTATAAGTTATCGTGCGGTTTCTTATGAGGATTTGTAAGAAATGTATGATCTTAATTTCTTAGTAAGATTTATCTTAATTTCTTAGTAAAATTTATCTTAATTTCTTAGTAAGATTTTCAAGTTATATAATGAATTCTCAGTAAGATTTAAAAAATCTTATAAGATTATTTTGTATTTATTCTGATCCTACAAAATTCCAAGCATATTTTTGCGTAGAGAATGCTAATAAATAAAACAATTAAGTACTTTAATTATTTTTTTCTCGAAACAAATTCTAATTATTAATACAACAGATTTTGCAATTGCTTTGTGTTTACATTAAGTTGCTTAGGATAACTTTTTCTGTTTTTATATTTTTGAATCGACTTTATAAAACTTTAGGTTTTCTGTACCAAGAGATTATGTGCCAAATTAAGGGGCCATCCATAAAGGACGTCATCCAAATAGGGGGGGGGGAGAGGGTCGAGTTAAAAAGGACAAAAAAGGACAAAGGGAGGGGGAGGTTCTCAGAAAAGGACATCACTTTATAGATTTTTTATTTTAGTTTAATTAACATGGAAAACTACGTAAACATGTGTTTTTAAGAATGTATAATAATGAGATAATGTATGAGAATATTTTTAATTTTCTTTTTCAAAGGTGGAAGAACAGATTTAAACATCATTGCGAGATAAAATAAATTTTTTTGGAGTTAAAAATAGGGGGGGGGTCAGGATTTTATGACGTCCTTTTCAATGGAGGTATAGGGAAAAAGGACAACCGGTGACAAAGGGGGGGGGGGAGAGGGGGTCAAAAATTGTCTAAAAAATGGTGACGTCCTTTATGGATGGCCCCTAATATCGTTTTATGACAATTCGTTACCAACAATGATACATAGATAAAACCCTCCTGAATCTATAGTTTAAAGAAGAAAAAATATTTTTTTTTTTTCAATTAAGTAGTATCAGTTTTAAAGTTAATCTAAAAAAAAAAAAAAAAAATTACTTAAGACGTAACACTACACTATCACAACAATATAACAAATACCATTAAAGATTAGGACTTTTTTGATTTGTTGAAGACAGGAAAAACAATAGTTTCACATATTTGTGCACCCAGTGGCACTAATTTGTGTATATCTATCCTTTTCATTGTGTACTGGTGTTCAACTTTACTACAAAAAAAAGTATTATGCATAACTGAGATGTTTGAATATGGTTATGTACAGAAATTAACAGTCATATATAACATATATAAAGCTAAATTCATCAAACACAAAATGCTATTTTTATCAAAATTAAAAATATGAACTAATGTAGTCTTCAAATAAAGATAATATTTAATAATTAACAAATATTTCTATTCTTCTCCCAGTGTTCAAGGGTATGTAAGATGTTGTTTTCCTGAAGCCAATAATTTAAATATAATACAGGCTGTCTGCCAATATCTAAAGATGGATTTCCCTGACTTTTCCCTGATTCTCAACCTGTTTTTGCTGACTTAATTTAAAGCAACAAAAAGTTAACTTTAGAAAAAAACAACCTATATTCGTTCAGAAAAATGCTTTAGGGCAAATATATCTAAATATAATTACAAGCAACATTTAAATTATCAATAGAAGGCCATAAAAAAAATCTTCTGAATAAATTTTTACATTATGTGAATAATTTAAAAATGAAATAGGTCACGTACATTTGCCACATAGCCATTTTCCCTATTTATTTCAAAATACAATCCAATTTCCCTAATTATTCCTTGGTAATTTGCAGATTTTGCTCTGATTTCCTTGATCTAGCTGACACGCTGTAATAACTGCCACATTATCTTTATACATATTCTGAAAATGAAATATTGCCTTAATTTTTAAAGTGTTGAAACTAATTATTTCTAATTGATAGCTCAGTTGTTATGGTTTTTCGCAACTAATGGGGTATATAATTTTCCTTAAACAACTAAAGTTCAATATGATAAATAAATCTTAACAATAGTCTGTATAATATTATTATTTGAATTGCATATATTACATATTATTCTAAAATATTACAATTAAACATTTTAATATTATTTAAATATGTATAATAAACAGCAGTCTAGAATTTTTAAGTTATGTAATAGAATCATGTATTTAGTTCAATATATATGTAGAAGCAAATAATGACATGCAGGTACAACAAGCCACTAATAACTTATCAGAGTAAATTGAATAACACCAACAGTTCTACTTAAACTCGTTATTATGGAATGTGAATTAAGATAAGAAGGACTACTTTATGTTTTGGACAAATCTAACCAAATTTTGATGATTTGAGAGTAAGGAAGCTGTAAATTTTTTAGAAAATGCTCAAATATTTCTTAATACAATATACAGCTTGTCTAATATAATGCAATTTTCAGTTATATTTGATCTATTTTCAGAATATGACGAACATGATAAACACAGAACAAAATCTTGTTAATTGTTTTGAAAAAAAAAATCAATTATGTTGTAATAAGATCTTAATAAGATCTTAATAAGATTTTAACAAGTTATTCAAAGAAATATTTCTGACAAATTTTATTAAGATACTAATAAGATCTTACTAATTTATGTAAGATCTTACTAATTTATGTAAGATCTTACTAATTTATGTAAGATCTTACTAATTTATGTAAGATCTTACTAATTTATGTAAGATCTTACTAATTTATGTAAGATCTTACTAATTTATGAAAGATAAAAAAGATCTTAAAGATCTTTGTAAGATTTGCAAGATTCATTGCTCTGGGTTACACCGTTGATCAGTTTTGGCGTATAATGAAAGTTAGAAAAATATCGGTTATTTGCGTCCTTGAGGTAACTTTAATTAGAATTTTCTATATTTTGATGAGTAATGTTTTGAATTAAGTCATAACGCTAAGAGCCGATCAATGAAAATGTCCATTTTCCCGCATCTAAGTTGTTAAATAAATCGCTTAAAGGAATATCTTGCTATTGCTTGACTGAATTACAAATTTTATCACTTGCCAAATCTTTATTGCGTTCAAACTCTTGGGTCACAGCTAATAAATTTGACTTTAAAGCTGGGTCTGCGACAGAAACCAAAGAAAATTGGCGAAGAGATTTATCAGAGGATTTATCAGAGGATTCTAGAGTCGTAACAGTTGAAAAGGGTCTCTTAAAAAATTTAATCATTAAGTCACGGCTTAGTTTGATTTCTCTGTTTCGGTCTTTCTTTTTCTTGTTGATTTCCATGTTCTTCCTATATCGATGTTTCTCATTGGCCATACTGACAAGATTTTAGACTAATGTTTGGAATAATGAAAAAAATTATTGTTAGTTGCAACACTTTTTATGGTATTAACTTTAGGTCAACATAGTCATAAAAGAAGCAGAACACTTTTAACTTTTTAAATTTACGTGTAATTAATTAAATAAAAAGTTAAATTTTAATTATAACAGTTTGCAATATTTACTTATTTTTTATATTATTTTTATAGCAGATTGCAGTTATAAGAAACAGTTGCTCTAAGTGCAACTATGCACTATCATTTTCATGATACGTCACTTAAGCATCTTTAGTTAAAATATGTATAAAAGTGTTGAGTTTAAACGAAAATGGTACCTTAAAAGTATAAGACTTCAAAAATGATTTATGGTTGATAAATCATTTTCTGAGTAATTTATTTTTTTAAAGATAAAAAACTATTTTTATTTTATGCTGTAAAAACGAATCATATAGTTTATTTTAATAAAGTTTTTAATAAGTGTTTTTGAATTTATTATAAAATTTATACGCTAAATATATAGTAAAAACTTCAGTTTCTCAAAACTTTTGCCATTTTTTTCTAAATTTTCTTTTTAAAAAATCTTTTTTTTTTTTTTTTTATTGATACTTATAAGTATTGTAATAATTTTAAACTAGTAACACTGGCTTTTCAAAACTTTTTGATACTTTTCTTTTTGTTTTTCTGGAAAAAAAAAACTAATTTTTTATCTTTGAGTTATTTACTCCTCATTTTTTTATCCTTATTTGTTTCGCTTGTTCCAGTTTAGTGCTTTAAAGATTGATGGAAATTTGTCAGTTAACTTGTATACACAAGATTTTCAACAACCTTTAAAGGTTTTGAGTTTTTATCTTTTGTTCAGCCAAGGTGTAGAAACATTTTTTAAATTAGGTTTTTTGTAAAGTTATATATTTATTGTTATTTTATCAGTTTATCTTTTTTTAAGGCAATTACAACGACTGAAACGGATGCAACTTATTTGGGGGTTATGCCAAATGAAGCTCCGTTAGAAGAACATGGGACAATAACGCCTGACGATTTACTTAGTTTTGCATGGCAAGTGGCATCAGGAATGGTATTTTTTACTTGCTATTTGTTTATAATGTTGTATTATGTTGTTAGATCATGATATTTGAGTGTTTTTAGGAGTTTCTTTCGTGTTCTAAATTGGTTCATCGAGATCTAGCTGCAAGAAATATTTTAGTTGGAGCGGGCAAAATAGTTAAAGTATCTGACTTTGGTTTAACTAGAAAAATTAATGATGAATTAACCTACATGAGCAAGAAAAAGCGTCGCTTACCGATAAAGTGGATGTCTGTTGAAGCCATATTTGACCAGTTGTTTACATCATTCAGCGATGTGTAATTTATTTCAGTTTACTTTTCCATATAATATTTTTGATACTGCAAGTTATTAGATAAAATTTCATAAAATATTTGTATTTAATTTTGTTTTAAATGTTTTTATTTTGATTGTTTCTTAATTAGCTTTTTTATGTTTTAGGTGGGCGTACGGTGTTGTTTTATTTGAAATTGTAACTTTGGGTTAGATTATATATGAAATCTTATTAGTTTTTTGAAGAACTTAATAGAAGTTTAAATGTCTTATCTTTTCATTTAATTTAACTTGCTTTTTATTAGGAGGTACTCCGTATCCTACTACAAGTAACTGTGAGCTTCTCTCTCTTTTGAAATCTGGTTATCGAATGGATAAACCTGAAAACTGTTCAGAAGAAATGTAAATTTTTTTGTTTTATGCATTGTTTTATTAAGAATTTTTTTGTTTATATCAGATTAATTTGAAATAAAATTTTAGGTATAATATTATGTTGCAATGTTGGAATGAGGATCCATTACAACGTCCTACTTTTACAATCTTACGTGAGCATTTTGATAAAGTAATGTCTCAAGGTGATTGTTACTTCAATTTTGAGTTTAACGAAAATACTGCACTGTCGTTTCCTTCGTTTAAAACAGAAATTGAAGATGATAATACAACGGAAGAACGAGTTTTCAAAAATCCTGAACACGTAAAGTCGATTGAGGAAATAAAAAGACTTCGTGATAAACCAATAGATCCATTAAACAAAAGATATACAGATTTTGGATAAAATCATTTCCACCAAGTTTATCAAACACCTTTATGAATAAAGTTCAGATTTTTAATTTTGCTTCAAGTCATTTAAATATAGGGTCTTTGTAAGATTAAGAAAATTACACAGTACAACACAAAAACTTTATTATATAATGTTTTAAACTAGTTTGGTTCGCCTGATTTTAAATTCCGTTTTAAATCTCCATTGCACATTACTTTTTTAAAAACTTGTTAAACTTGTTTTCTTGTATGTTTTTGAAATTTTATTTAGAGAACTTGTTCTTGAAAATCTTTATTTCTTTACTACATTACACTTCACATTACTCAATAAACTATAATAAACAATTACACTTACAAAAAATTTATATAAGCAATACAAGTGTTTAGCGAATGATTTCCAGTTACAGAGCACGTGAAAGGAGTCGCGTTGTAACATCCTGAAAAATCCTCTTTGCCAACAGCACAACAAAAATACAATCGGCAGAGCGCACAACGCATAGTGGTCCAGAATTCTCTTTTACTAGAAAAAACTAATAATTCTTCATACAGTAAAAATTTAAGGAACATTTTTGCAATGTTTACAAGTTTGAGAATTGCGTTTGAATAAAGGCATTATTTTAATTTGTCTAAAATTGTCTAAAATGCTCAGCCACCACATATTGTATTAATAATATATATGAGCTAGATTAAAGTAATAATATTATTGGGTTACATCCATGTTTATCACATACCCCAGTGGGCACACGACGTTATTTCGACGTTGATTTACAGTTGATTTTTAGTCGCGACGTCGTATAACCAAAAACCAACGTTGTATCAACGATGAAAAATTTGTTTAAAACTATCAAATAAAATCGACGTTGATTCCACGTTAATTCAACGTCTATTTACGAGTTCGATTGTTCAAAATTGCAATATGAGAACTAAAATACGCATGCGTGACTTAAAATTTTTTTATCAACGTAACAAATAACAAGTAAAGACTTAACAAGTTACTTATTAGCCCAATAAAAACAAGTAAAGTCACACATGCTAATAAATTAGGTCATCTGTTGCCTTTTTATAAGGTTTTGAATTTGACTATTTAACAATAATACATGGCTTAACTTGTGATGCAGTTAGGTAAATATTAAATGGATATTTCTTTATTTCATGAGTGTGGATTACAAGTAGAGACTACTTGATATATTATACAAATATAAAATATATATTATATATGTTTTTCTTATTTATATAATATATATATATATATATATATATATATATATATATATATATATATATATATATATATATATATATATATATATATATATATATATATATGTATATATATATATATATATATATATATATATATATATATATATATATATATATATATATATATATATATATATATATATATATATATAAATATATATATATATATAAATATATATATATATATAAATATATATATATATATATATACATATATATATATATATATATATATATATATATATATATATATATATATATATATATATATATATATGCATATATAATATGTACATACACTGTATATGTATATATACATACATAATATAAATATATATATAATGGATGATGTTTTACATAATAATGATTTATCAAGCTTTTTTACCAATCCATGTGATTTAAAGAGTTTGAATATTTATTATATTAAAAAATTTTTATTAAATTTTTCAAAGATTTTTTTTGTAAAGTTGTATAAAAAAGAATTTGTGCATGTTCCTTTAGTCCATGATGTTGGTTGGTAGAAGGATCAACATAAAAGTTTAGCAAATTTTAGCAACTGTATAATGTATCATAACGTACAGTTTAAAGTTGTATTTTTCTGTTAGCTATTTTACGTGAACAAATTTTTAATATATAAGTATTTTTTCTATTATATTTTCTACTATACTTTTCCAGTTGAAAAAGTATAGTAGGGCATGCAAAATGTTCATTCGAGCTGTTTGGATAAAAAACACAGAGGAATAAAGAGAGAAAATTCGATTGATAATTTTTTGTGCTGGCCATCATCATTAAATGTAATAAATTGTTTCAATGAAATGCATAAACCGCATCTAACTAATACAGACTTACGCTGCTCAAAATTAAATGTCATGGAGATAATGTAATTTTTTTTTTATATAAACCTTAAGTCATTACTTTTTTTCCTTGCTTTTTTAACATGCTTACATTCTGTATATGTTGTTTTCAGTGTTTATATATATTCTTTATTATATATTCTTTATTATATAATGTATTTAAAACAATTTTAAATTGAATGATTATTCTTAGATCATGAGTTATGTAATAAATTTGAATTTGCCTCTACTAGTGATACTCAGATAGAATCAGGTTCAGAAAACGGTAACTATTTCAAAAGATACTTAATTCAAGTATTATTAGTTATATTTTGATATTAATTTTTATAGAAGCCACTACCATGCTTATGCAAGAAAAAACATAATAACCAACAGAATAGTAAGCAAATACCTACTCCTGTAACGCAAAAAAAGAAACAGAAAACAGTTTTTATGTATACTTCACATACTGTAGCTCAAGGTATTAATTGTCTGTCTGCAAGTTAATCTAGGAAGAAAAGATTCTGAACATTTTTTTCTATGCTTCAGTGATTTAAACATTTCTTTGGTTGCTAAATTAATACATTTTATTTAATTTATGAATAATGTTTTATTTTATTATTTTTTTGTTCTTGTGTTCCAATGCTTTTAGAAATTAATTAATGTTTGGTTCTTTTGTCTTTCTGATATATCTTTATTGTTAGAAAGAGATGTTAGTAAAAACACTTTCCAGTAGTTAAAGTAATATCATGACAAATAGTTCTAAAATTCTATGGATGATCTTGCAGCAGTAATTTAATGATTATGATAACAGTTTAAATGATTCTTGGGTGAGGTCAGAAGTGATGGGTTGTTTCAAACCATGACTTTTTGCAGTTTTTTTTATTGTTTTTTGATTAAGCATTTATTAATTACTTAGCCTAAGTTAATCTACTTGTAACTTTTTATAAATATACTAAAAATAATGTGGTGTAATTATTTACTTAAACCTTTAGGTTAACAAACTTTCTAAAATTGGAGGTAAAACCATTAAGACAAATAAATGTGATGCAAAGGTTTGTTAAAAGTAGTTTTGAATAAAAAAATCTTTTGAATCTTTTTATTATAGTTTGTTTTAAACTTGTGTTAAAAATATGTGTATCATATATTTTTAAAAGTTTGACGAATTCTAATCAGACATAAAATATTTTTTTTTTATGTCTGATTATAATTTTTTTTGTAACTGTTTTCTCTTACTTTTGTATTTCCTTGAGCTAAAGAACAACCTTAAAGTACAAAGGTTGATTTGTAACGCATACTTAACCTTTTTTTTTACTCTATATATACATACATATATATGCACATAAATAAACATACATATATATGTATGTATATGTACATACATATGCTTATATGAATATATTATATATATATATATATATATATATATATATATATATATATATATATATATATATATATATATATATATATATACTATATATATATATATATATATATATATATATATATATATATATATATATATATATATATATATATATATAATATATTCATATAAGCATATGTATGTATATATACATATGCTTATAATTTCATATAAGCATATATATATATATATATATATATATATATATATATATATATATATATATATATATATATATATATATATATATATATATATATATTATATATATATATATATATATATATATATATATATATATATATATATATATATATATATATATATATATATATATATATATATATATATATATATATAATGGTGCAATTTAAAGTTTTTTCTTTTCTTTATAAAGTTGTACTTGATAAAAATAAATAAAGTTGAACATTTTGAATATTTATTAATTATTATGATAAATTATATAAAATATATATAAAGTATAAGTATTGTGCAAAAACACTTTTATTTGCAAAAATTGCTTCATTGCATTGTGGCATGCTTGCAATTTATTTTTTATAGTTTCTGTCAACTCTGGGTTATTATGCTAGATCTTGATAATTTCTTCTATAAGATCTTGCTTATTAGTAAGATTTTTTTTTTCCAATCTCTTGCTTTACTCTTTCCCAAATGTTTTCTATGGGGTTAAGATTATGCGAGTTGTCCGGCTATACCAATACATTAACTAACAGTTAATATATAACAGTTTTTATTGTGTGGCAAGTTGCACCATCTCGCATAAATATAAGATTTTTGACACTATTTTTAAATTTTTTTGTCAATTTTTGACTTTTTTGGCTGGACATCAATCCCTCTTCAATTAGCCTTCTACAAATGGTCCGGTCTGACACAACAATTACAGCTTCATTGATAAGCTTAGTGGCTTTTTTTCTCTTTTCCAGGCAGATATTTCTGATTATACTGTCCGCTCTTGGTGTTTTCTTGCGTTTAGAAGGTGGTCTCCTTGGACCAAACTCTTCCCCTTTATCAATTCTTTTTCTTACTTGCATTACGGTTTGGTAAGAAACCTTTACGGTTTGTGCAATTTTTCATTGAGAATAATTTGTATTTTGTAAAAGACATGTTTATCCATTTTTAATGTAACTATAATAATAATAATAACAATGTATAATGCAGGTTGTTAATCAATGGTTTATAATCAAAATTTAATATGGCTGGCGGTATAGGTAAAGAGAAGTTTAAAGGAACAAACATTAGGTATTTACTTGTAAGTTAAGTGTAAAATTATATATTTTTTAAAAATCACAGTTCGTTTTTTTAATGCTAATTTATTTTTTAACTTTTTGATGTATTTGATGTAAATTACTCAGGCAATACCTTTTTTATAGAGAGCGTTTTGTCAATTAAAGTGACTGCTACAGTTGCCGAAATAAGAAAGGAATAATGACTTTATTAAAATACGCACTCGACAGATCAAATGGTGGTGGTCGGCGCGTAAAAGGCAATTCACCCGATGTATAATATTCATACTTTTTCCTAGTTGTTCTGGAACTATTGATAATAGTTATTATTGATAAATTGATAAATATACTACTGATAAATAAAACTTTTTTTTTTCAAACATTTTACTTTATTTGCATTGTATATAAAGTCCGTTGAAGCAATTTAGTTGTATCTGATTAATTTACGTGAAATTCTCTGCGCAAATTA